CATATTAAATAACAGACTGACTTATGCTGAACATTTAAACTAACTAACAGGCTTGGTTGAAAATACAGACTGCACACTACTCGATTTGTCCCCAACTTATACTTATCCTCATAATTATTCCAACTCAAAAATCGTCACCAAACAAGCACACCTATTTTAACCAAGATTAAAACTAAAACTCAAATGCTCAAATGAGTCTAATGTTGCAGCACTTCAACAGTCCCAAACCAACTACAACTCAAAGTACTCAACTATTGAGGAGAAAAAAAACTAACTAGCATACATAATGAATCAAGTAACTAAGGCAACCAATCACATAGAAATACTACAAATAACAGTATGATCATTCTTTCAACTTTGTTTTTCATTTCCATCTTTAAACTCGACCTTACATTGGGTATAGTTCAGGAAAAGTGTACCTGGAGTGAAAGGAAAGCAAAAGGATCAATAAATCAGCAGTAGCAGAACAGCCAGAATCCCAGTAATGAAATAATGCCAAAGGAACTCAGCAAAAATCAGTGTTGATACACAGTAAACCCCAAAATCAAACTTGAATTGAAACAGAATTTCAAACACACCCTCAGCTTAAAACCAGCTTTCCAAACCCAAATTAAACCATCTCTAATCCCATGTGAACCAGAAATAACTTCAGAAAAAAGAAAACAACCTGAAGAACCAAAGATTACTTCAGGGATTCAAACTTTAAAATTACAGAAAAGGAAACTAATGGAAAAGTGTTTTTTTTTCAAATCTTCAGCCGTCTGATTTTTCTCTATTTTTCTATCTCTGAAAGTCTGCCTTCTTATGCAAGAAAGCATGCCTTTATAGGCAAGGGAGTAGGGCATCTTTCAGAATTTAGTTTTACCCCTTAGGCCCTTTTCAACTTTTAATTTTTGCCTAGATACACCTAATTAATTCTCTGATTTTCAAGTTAGTCCACCAATTATTGACTTGTTGGCCAAGCTAAGCCACTACACTTCTGAAATTCGATTAAGACCCTCACTAGAAACTTCCCTTTTCTGTTATCAAAAGATTCCCTAAACCAAATACCTAAACTACCCCTTTTCATCCTTGTTATTTACCCCTGAACAAAAATATGGGCCAAATCGACACGACCAGACTTGGTGTAGGTCTGCAAACCCAAATTGAATCCCCACCTGGGCCCTTTGAATTTCAAAACCCAATTAGGGCAATCAGGGATTCCCCATTTAAAAATTGACCCACTATTCCCAAAAGAAAAGATCCAGAAACCTTTTAACATGTAATCAACGTTTATGAGGGTGCATGAATCAATTTACTTAATCTTCATAACAAGAAATGAACTGAATTAAATCTAATTAGGTCGACTGGAGTGAAAGTAAAGAATCAGAAACTTAGCCAAACTAAATAAGTTACAAAACGGATTCCACAAAAGAAAAGAAGAGAAAAACAAAAAACAAGAAAAAGGAAAACAGAAAAGGAAACATGTTGAACTCGGAAGGCAAGTTGACTTTCCAAACGGAAGAAAACTAGGTTAAAGAGAAGGAAGGAGAAGGATAATGGGAGAAAGAAAACACAAGAGGGACAGGAACTTACCAGATCAGACCTTGACAACAAATGGAAGCGAAACTTCAACCAAACTTATGTCGAGTCAGACCCTCAAACTTTGAAGGAAAAGCACTGCATGCTACCCAGCTCGAACGAAGATGATTTTGAACTTTTGGTTTGGAATCGGATTTAGGATTTAACGAGTTCAAAATTGATTCGAGGGGTATGGGTTAGGGGTTTGGAGAGAGGAGATCATGGTGGGTCTGTGGTGTGATTTTGGTGTTGAAAGGAGGTGGCGCCGCCAGGCAGGGGATTGGGAATTCTAGGGCGGCGGCTTGGGTTTCAGGTGTTCGATCTAGATTCGAGGGATTTGGGTAGGTTTTGTAGGAAATTGGTTGCAGATTGAGGATGTGGAGGCGGAGAGGAAGCTGTGGTAAAGATTTGGGATGGTTTGGAGACTCGCCGCCGCCGTAGGCGATTTCCGGCAGTAGCAGACGGCGGCGATGGAGAGGTCTTCTGGTGAGTGAGAGAGACGAGAGACGGGGTAGGGGGTGTTTGGACATTAAAATATTAAAAAATCCCTAGTTCTCAGCCGTCTGATCAAACAACATCGACGGTTGAGATTAAAACCTAATAAAACGGGGTCGTTTTGAGTGGTAAAGGGATCCTGGACCGGGTTAAAAGGTCCCGGTCTCGGAAGAGATGCAGCATTACGAGCTATTCGTCGAAGTGGTATACTATTAACTTTCGTACGGGATGTAACTCCTATGCCACATAATGGCTGTAGACCTCCGAAAAAAAGACGTGTGTAGAACTGAACATTGAAGAAATCTCAAGAGAAATAAAAGATTCGATGATACTAATCAAATAATAGTACTATGGTTCGAGAGAAAGTAACAGTATCTACTCGGACACTACAGTGGAAGTGTGTTGAATCAAGAACAGACAGTAAACGCCTTTATTATGGACGCTTTATTCTGTCTCCACTTATGAAAGGCCAAGCCGACACAATAGGCATTGCGATGCGAAGAGCGTTACTTGGAGAAATAGAAGGAACATGTATCACACGTGTAAAATTTGAGAAAGTCCCACATGAATATTCTACCATAACGGGCATTCAAGAATCGGTACATGAAATTTTAATGAATTTGAAAGAAATTGTATTAAGAAGTAATCTCTATGGAACTTCTGACGCATCTATTTGTGTCAAGGGTTCCTGGTCATGACCTTCAAGATAATTGTCTGCTCAGGCCTCAACTCCTCAGCTATAACCCTAGTCGCAATATCCTACACACAGAAATCCAAATTTTAAAAATAATAACAACGTAAGCCAGAAACAACTAATTTCCAGTGCTGCAACAAGTGTCTTTAGCTTTACTTTCATATATGAACCATACCTATGTGTTGTCACTTCCCTCCATTTTTAAAGCCTAACAACTCCCAAGCCTACTCATAGATAAGGGAGGAATAGCCTTTTGGTAAAGGCCCTCCACATATAAGCATNTATGGGAGTAATTCATATAGGGCAAAAATTACGTACTCACAGGCATGACTCCCTATAAGTACTATAGTACTAATTTTTAATTTCACAAGGGAGAATTTAAACACATAAATTTTTCACCACAAGGACGTCGTCCTTATATGACATCCACCGCAGCTTGTAGCTAGTTTAAATATCTCACTTCATATAAAAATACGAGGATCTCATCCTCAACTACGTACCACAAGTAATATGCACATTGTGCCAACTGAAAATTTTCATTTCCTTTCTTTTTTCTTCTAAATAAATTCCGTCAAACAAAACCACAACATATAATGAACCCTCACATCGATAGGGAATAAAATTCGCAATTTAAATTAATTTTTCCTGAAATCACATCACAACTATTTTTAGTGACTAACACATAATGATAGACATAGTTATCTCCATATAATCTCCCAACAGGAGTATGCACATAAGTAAATTTAAGATTACGAAGCTCACTCATGAGTAGAGCATATTATGAGGACTTGCCTCGATACTCATAACTGAATCAAGTTAAGGAAATTGTTCCTTTATGATAACTCGAGTTCGTTCTTGTAACGACCTCAGCTATACCATAGTGAATATATCAATGGGTCGGGCCTCCACCTCTTAGGCGCCATCTACCCGCTTTTCCTCCACCCCTAATTGGTAGTGTAGGTAGAGTAGTAACTATAATGGAGTACGTGGCACGTGTGCTCTGATGGAACAGATTTCTCCCAAGTCTAGGACAATTTCTCAGGATGTTCCTAGTATCACCATATTCATAACAACCCATCCGCAGTTCGACTGCTCATACTGAGTTCATACCGGATAACTTAAATAACCATTGCAAGAAATTCCATGCCACTGGCACATTAAAAGATGACCGCCCCACGCGAGTGTTGTGATTAACTTAAGCACTACGAGTATGCTGAAATTATTTCTGTGACCCCTCTGATACTGAAATGTAGAATTGTTAAGGACGCGGGAATATCTCAAGTCCCATCATCATCCCATTCAAATCTCAGCTCTTAATCATATACAAGTTTTGGAAAACCTTTCAATACCACATAAATACATCTCATGCCAAAATTGACATAACACATGACCCCGCAATTTGATCGTTGATAGTGGACTCCCCTCACCTGGCACGAAGCCATATGAAACATTCCGATGATTCACAATACTAACCTTTATTGCTCGTACGACACCAGTAATAAGACACCTCAAGCCATTTGTTTGGCGCATGTCATCCTCGTGACGGTTAAACTCGTTTCCTCCAGTGTCTTGGTTGGTTAGTAAGTACCCTTTGCTAAATAGAAATCCCATACGAAACACATAGTCTCTAATACTACCAACTATTTTTTTTATCTACATCCACCTGATGATTAGGTAACCAATTAAACCTTCCTAAGATTGTACTTGTCAACCAAATGTCAAAACATATTGCATCCATATGTGCACAATTGAAAGATCTCTCTATACTTCCGCATCCCCAATTCTGGACGACACGTGGTAACAGTAGTCGAGCAACTTTGGCTCCCTTATAACCCCTTTACAGTATCACAAACCATTGGTGCAGGCGCAATTCCATACATGAGTAGAAGCAAAAGAGCATAAGATATATGCTTCAAGCTGAATTAATATCGCACGATAAGGAATGAAAGAAGTGAGGTTATCCTAATAGTTCTGTAGCCTCTCGAAGATAAGTACAGACGTCTCCGTACCGATCCGCAAGACTCTACTAAACTCGCTTATGACTTGTAGCACTTATGAACCTAGAGCTCTGATACCAGCTTGTCACGACCCAAAAATCCCTCTGAAGGAGTCGTGATGGCACCTAGTCTCTAAACTAGGTAAGCCTAACATTAACTGATATAATATGTATATTTGCTAACCTTAATCTGAATAACTCTTAACAATTTACAATTCCCAAAATCGGTGGTACAAGTCACAAGCCTATCTAAGAGTAATTTCACAAAATAATATACCACTGCCCCGAAACAAAGGAGCAAATGGAAGTAAATACAAATGAAGGTGACTTCGAGACCTGCGAACGCTGTAGCAGGTTTACCTTGAGTCTCCATCGCGATGACCCTGACGGCAACTATCAATCCACCTGGATCTGTACACAAAAATGTACAGAAGTTTAGTATCAGCACAACCGATCCTATGTGCTGGTAAGTGCCTAGCCTAACCTCGGCGAAGTAGTGACGAGGCTAGGACCAGGCTACCAAATAAACCTGTGCAATATAGCGTACAAAATAATAGGAAGCAGATAATAATGGGGGCAACAATGATCAACCAGTGATATAATTAGCAGGCAACGAGAACATCATAAATGTTTCTTAACAAATAATAAATACAAGTGCAATCAATTAATTAAGTCCTTCAAATATAAATCTTTCGCCTATGAATCCTTCAAGTAATAATCTCTAATATAATATGCTTTTCAATAAATATATCTCTAATATACTTCCTTTCGAGTAAAGGTCACCTTGTGACGCCTCATTTTAAAATCATTAATAATATAGATCTCAGCCCACTTTCACATTTTCACGGCACCTCGTGCCTATATTTATATCACAATCGCACGGACAACTCACGTGCCATTTAAATAACACCATAATAATTTCCCCGGCACCTTGTGCCCACATATTTCTGTCTCACATTGCACAACAATATTCTCATATTACTCAGTTCATAGGTTCCATACCCAATACAATTAAGAATGTTCAAGGAGCCTCATTCACTTAACATAAAGTAGAGTACAACTCCCAACTCAATTAGGATATCAACAAGAAAAGATGAAGTTATTTTTTAGAAATCATTTGATAAAGAAAATACCCTTTTCAATTAAAGTACAATATCGAATGAATCATTACCTTTAATACGAGAAATCAATAAATCAAAATATAGTAGAAATTCCTTTTTAAGTAAAGTACAACCTCAAACGGTTTAAGAAAAATTTAGTTGAGAAATCCATTGAGTTAAAAATGTAACAATTGTTGAAATTTGAAGTATTGAAAGCTATATATAAATGCGGCGAGGTATTGAAAACAATACGGGTTCCAACACAAAAGGATCACAGCAGTAAGGAAAATTTTGAACCGTTAAAACACTTGAATTGATAAAAACAATTAAACACAGCAAACAGAAAGTGCACAGCCTAACCCTTCGTACTTTTACTCACTTTCTCACCATAAGAATCAAAATTCACTTTTATTCTTTCTTGTTGCGGCGTGCAACCCGATCCCAACCATATATTACTGTTGCGGCGTGCAACCCGATCCAACCATCTAATATCGTTGCTGCGTGCAACTCGATCCATTTAATATTGTTGCTGCGTGCAACTCGATCCATTTAATATTGTTGCGGCGTGCAACCCGATCCATTTAATATTGTTGCGGCGTGCAACCCGATCCATTTAATATTGTTGCAAACACTAATCACAAAAGAATCCCGACAAGGAAACAATAAAGAAACAACCATATCCCGGCAAGGGAGACAATATCATAAACAATAACATCCCGGCAAGGGAGACAATATCATAAACAATAACTCCCGGCAAGGGAGACAATATCATAAACAATAACATCCCGGCAAGGGAGACAATATCATAAACAATAACATCCCGGCAAGGGAGACAATATCATAAACAATAACATCCCGGCGAGGGAACAATAGTATAACAATAATATCCCGGCAAGGGAAACAATATAATAAGCAATAACGTCCCGGCAAGGGAACCAACAGTAGGGATTAAATATGTCCCGGCAAAGGAATCAACTATAACCAAACTTGTACCGATAATTAACTTCACAATGAAACCTCAACTTGAGTCAACGCTCTACCATGTTCAACAATTAAATTCTCAACTTGAGCCAATGCTCTACCATGTTCAATTAACAATAATACTTCCACAAGTCATATTCCCTAATAGAATTTATCATATAGAGCATATACAATACGAAACGGAGTCACATTAATTGAAGTATAAGACTCACGAGCATGCTTGACACCAACATATGGATACTCGTCACCATGCCTATACGTCGTACTCAACAAATAACATATAACAAATAGGACACAACTCCTAATCCCTCAAGCTAAGGTTAGACCAAACACTTACCTCGCTTTGCTACCAATTCAAAATTCCAACAAGCCTTTGCATCGCGAATTCGTCCGAAGCTTCAAATCTAGTCATAATAATTCCAAATACTCAACACGAATCGTAGGAACTAATTCCATATGAATTTACACATTTTTCGAATTAAAATCCGAAATTTAGCTCAAAATTGCTCGTGGGGCCCACGTCTCGGAACTCGACGAAACTCATAAATCCGACAACCCATTCCGATACGAGTTCAACCATGCAAAAATTATCGAATTTCGATATCAAATGGACCTTCAAATCCTAAATTTTCATTTTTGGGAAAGTTTTACAAAAACTATAGTTTCTTTCATCCAAATCCGAAATAAACGATGAATATTGATATAGATTTATGAAATGTAATCACTTCCGGATATAGAGCACTTACCCAAGTCGAAATCGTGAAAAACCCCTTTGAAATCGCCCAAATCCGAGCTCCATAGCTCCAAATGTGTTAAAAATGGCTGAAACTTGCGTTTTGTAATCTGTCCAGGCAAGTCGCAGGTGTCATGACTTGTAAATCGCATTTGGTACTTGCAATTTACACTGCCCCAGAACACAGCATTACCCGCCTTCAGTAAATCACTGATAACTTTTTGTACAAATGTCCAATTGATGAACGGTTTGAAATATTAAAAACTAGACTCAAAGACCTTTCATTTGATAGGTTGTGCATCACATAACACCTTATATATATGTAGATATGCTCGTCCAAAGTGAGGTCTTGTGCGTACTCATTTGCAACTTTAGTCTATTATGAAATTTTCCAACTTGGCTTAGACTTAGGACTTTCCTTAGACCCCATATATCTTATAGTACACCTCGTACACTTGCTATCATATCCAATTGGTATCCATCATGGTAATAGACCTCTTCCACATATAAGATAATATAATTAGAACACGTCAACTTTATTATTTCGCCAAAATGCGTCGAATTGTCCTATGGACTTCCAAATCCATATTCGGACACACGTCTAAGTCCGAAATCACTATACGAAGCTATTGACATCATTAAAATTCTATTTCAGGGTCGTTTGCTCAAAAGTCAACTCTCCGGTCAACTCTTTCCATTTGAGCATCAAAAATAAGATTTTGATTTTTCTTTAAATTTAACTCTGAATCTTACGAAAACCAAACCTGACCATACATGCGGGTCATAATGTGTATTATGAAGCTTCTCGGGGTCTTAAGCAGTGAACGAGACGTAAATTCTTAAAACGAAAATTCGAGTCGTTACACGACATCAGTTGAAATTATCATGTCATCTTTTATCTATCATCCAAAAAAGCATTAAAAACTTATCTTTTAGCAGGGCCACTGAATTTCATCTATCACCTAAAAAAGCATTAAAAACTTATCTTTTAGCAGGGCCACTGAATTTCATCTATCACCTAAAAAAGTTCATCATCTTCTGCCTCCAAGCTCTTCTTCCTCCTCAGAAGATGTGTTTCTAAGAATGTCAAATTTCAGTAGTACGTACTAAGTCGTAAGACTGTAGCTTGGTACCTATCGATTATATATTGAAGAAGAAAACATTTGAAACATACTCATAAAACAGAATCATTCTCTAAAGAGGACTATAGCTTTATAAAAAATCAAATATACAACCTGTTATATTTGTTACACATACTTGGATGTATATTCATCCACAACATATATATTTTCTTTTTAGGCACCTCTAATTATCTGAATGTAGGTGAAAGCTAACCTCGCTAACCGGAAAGATACACATGTTGAATGATCAATTTTCATCTATGTTTGGTCATAAAAATTGTTTCATAAATATGGTGGAAAGAAATAAACTGAACATAAAGACTCTTAGGAGCAAAATTGCAATGCCAAGTTGCTAGAAGTGACCCCACGTTATAGAATATAATGACCATGAATCCCAGGAATAGAGTGCTTGTAACGACCCGGTCGGTCGTTTTTGGAATTTACGCCCCGATCCCCTAGTAACTGCTTCCCCTAAGTTCATTTCTGCTATTTGGTTTGCCGGGACGTTCGATTTTGAGTTTTGGAGAGTTTTGGGACACATAGTCCCTAAAGGAGAGCTTAAGTGTTGGAAAATGGTCCATAGCCAGAACAGTGTGAAGACGGCCTCGGAATGGAAATCTGATGGTCCCGTTAGCTCCGTTAGGTGATTTCGGGGTTAGGAGCGTGTTCGGAATGTGTTTTGGAGGTCCGTAGCTCATTTAGGCTTGAAATGCCGAAGTTTGAATTTTTGAAGTTTCCGGTCCGATAGTGAGGTTTTGATCCGAGGGTCGGAATGGAATTCCGGCAGTTGCAGTAGCTCCGTCATGTCATTTGGGATGTGTGTGCAAAATTTCAGGTCATTCGGACGTGTTTTGGTTAGATTTTTGATCGAAAGCGTATTTTGAGAGAATATGAAGTTCTTAGGCCTAAATCCTTGATTAATTCGATTTTCCGGTATTGTTTTAGGTGTTTTAAGGATTGGTACAAGTTTGAATAGGGTATTAGGTGATGTTGGTGCTTTTGGTTGAGGTCCCGGGGGGCTCGGGATGAATTCAGATGGTTGACGGAAAGATTTTTGAAGTTGAGAGATTGCAGACTTTGCTGCTTCTGATATTTTCGCATCTGCAGTTTGGGGAACGCAGATGCGGCGCCGCAGATGCGGCTAAGGGGACCGCAGAGGCGGATTTGGTGAATTCTTCAGGTACCGCAAATGCGGTTGATCTTCCGCAGAAGCGGAACCGCATCTGCAAGTGGGTGACCGCAGATGCGGAACCTGGCCTTTTAATGAAAGTCGCAGATGCGACTATTTGTCCGGAGATGCGGTCCCAGGACCGCAAATGCGGAAATAGCTGGCCAGAAATAGTGATTTCGAGGGTTTAGTTTCAAAAGTTAGAAAAATCGAATTGGGGCTCGGGAGAGGGCGATTTTGAGAGGGATTTGAAGAGGAGACCATTGGGTAACGATTCTTTAACCCTTTCTAGTTATATTTCATCAATCTTTAGTTAACTTCATCATCTAATTTCGGATTTTGAATGGAAAATGGGTAAAAACTTCATAGACTTAATTATTGAGATTTGAGTGGGTTCTTGACCTCCGATTTGAGAGATTTTTATATGGTTAGACTCGTGAGAGTACGANTATTGCATCCATATGCGCAAAACTGAAAGATCTCTCCATACTTCCGCATCCCCAATTCTGGACGACACGTGGTAATAGTAGTCGAGCAACTTTGGCTCCCTTATAACCCCTTTACAGTATCACAAACCATTGGCGCAGGCGCAATTCCAAACATGGGTAGAAGCAAAAGAACATAAGATATACGCTTCAAGCTGAATCAATATCGCACGATAAGGAATGAAAGAAGTGAGGTTATCCTAATAGTTCTGTACCCTCTCGAAGATAAGTACATACGTCTCCGTACCGATCCGCAAGACTCTACTAAACTCGCTTATGACTTGTAGCACCTATGAACCTAAAGCTCTGATACAAACTTGTCACGACCTAAAAATCCCTCCGAAGGAGTCGTGATGGCACCTAGTCTCTAAACTAGGTAAGCCTAACATTAACTGAGATAATATGTATATTTACTAACCTTAATCTGAATAACTCTTAACAATTTACAATTCCCAAAACCAGTGGTACAAGTCACAAGCCTATCTAAGAGTAATTTCACAAAATAATATACCACTGCCCCGAAACAGAGCAAATGGAAGTAAACACAAATGAAGGTGACTCCGAGACCTGCGAACGCTATAGCAGGTTTACCTTGAGTCTCCATCGCGATGACCCGCACAGCAACTATCAATCCTCCTGGATCTGTACACAAAAACGTACAGAAGTGTAGTATCAGCACAACCGCCTCCATTGCTGGTAAGTGCCTAGCCTAACCTCGGTGAAGTAGTGACGAGGCTAGGACCAGGCTACCAAATAAACCTGTGCAATATAGCGTACAAAATAATAGGAAGCAGATAATAATGGGGGCAACAATGATCAACCAGTGATATAAATAGCAGGCAACGAGAACATCATAAATGTTTCTCAACAAATAATAAATACAAGTGCAATCAATTAATCAAGTCCTTCAAATATAAATCTTTCGCCTATGAATCCTTCAAGTAATAATCTCTAAGATAATATGCTTTTCAATAAATATATTTTTAATATACTTCCTTTTGAGTAAAGGTCACCTTGTGACGCTTCATTTAAAAATCATAAATAATATAGATCTCAGCCCACTTTCAGATTTTCACGGCACCTCGTGCCCATATTTATATCACAATTGCACGGACAACTCACGTGCCATTTAAATAACACCATAATAATTTCCCCGGCACCTTGTGCCCACATATTTCTGTCTCACATTGCACAACAATATTCTCATATTACTCAGTTCATAGGTTCCATACCCAATACAACTAAGAATGTTCAAGGAGCCTCATTCACTTAACATAAAGTAGAGTACAACTTCCAACTCAATTAGGATATAACCAAGAAAAGATGAAGTTAGTTTTTGAAATCATTTGATAAAGAAAATATCCTTTTCAATTAAAGTACAATATCGAATGAATCATTACCTTTAATACGAGAAATCAATAAATCAAAATATAGTAGAAATTCCTTTTTAAGTAAAGTACAACCTCAAACGGTTTAAGAAAAATTTAGTTGAGAAATACATTGAGTTAAAAATATAACAATTGTTGAAATTTGAAGTATTGAAAGCTATATATAAATGCGGCGAGGTATTGAAAACAATACGGGTTCCAACACAAAGGATCACAGCAGTAAGGAAAATTTTGAACCATTAAAACACTTGAATTGATAACAACAATTAAACACAGCAAACAGAAAGTGTACGGCCTCACCCTTCGTACTTTTACTCACGTCCTCACCATAAGAATCAAAATTCACTTTTATTCTTTCTTGTTGCGACGTGCAACCCGATCCCAACCATATATTACTGTTGCGGCGTGCAACCCGATCCAACAATTTAATATTGTTGCTGCGTGCAACCCGATCCATTTAATATTGTTGAGGCGTGCAACCCGATCCATTTAATATTATTGCGGTGTGCAACCCGATCCATTTAATATTGTTGCGGCGTGCAACCCGATCCATTTAATATTGTTGCGGCGTGCAACCCGATCCATTTAATATTGTTGCGGCGTGCAACCCGATCCATTTAATATTGTTGCCAACACTAATCACAAAAGAATCCCAGCAAGGAAACAATAAAGAAACAACCATATCCCGGCAAGGGAGACAATATCATAAACAATAACATCCCGGCAAGGGATACAATATCATAAACAATAACATCCCGGCAAGGGAGACAATATCATAAACAATAACATCCCGGCAAGGGAGACAATATCATAAACAATAATATCCCGGCAAGGGAAACAATATAATAAGCAATAACGTCCCGGCAAGGGAACCAACAGTAGGGATTAAATATGTCCCGGCTAGGGAATCAGCTATAACCAAACTTGTACCGATAATTAACTACACAATGAAACCTCAACTTGAGCCAGCGCTCTACCATGTTCAACAATTAAATTCTCAACTTGAGCCAACGCTCTACCATGTTCAATTAACAATAATACTTCCACAAGTCATATTCCCCAATAGA